AGATCTTCACGTATCAGTCGCTGCTGGCGTACACGGTACTCCTGAGAAACCTGTCACCACAAGAGCAGCAGAGCATCAGAACGTATCGGAGTTATGGAAACTCCGCGGAGCTCGCATGGCACCACCTCAAATGCCTTTACCAAGCAAACGACAGCGTGACACAAAGCAGACTCATGCAACAGCTGACAACAATACAGATGAAGACCGGGGAAAAGGCGATGCAGTATATGAGTCGCTGCCAGACCCTCCGCGACCGCCTGCTTCGGTGCGGAGGAACGATCACTGAAGAAAGCTTCGTGACACTTGTCCTCGCCGGGCTCGGGCCAGAATGGAGAACCACACGATCACTTCTTCGAGCCCACGGAAGAATTTCGGAGATGCACCTCTGCGCCGAGCTTCACGCTGAACAACAGGAGATGGATCTGTTCGAGGAAAGACAACCAAGGAAGCAACAGCAGTTAGTCTTCTACACTCAAAGAAGAAATGACAACAACTACAACCGACGCAGCAAGCAAGATCAACGCGACAACCGAGGACTCACCATCGTGCCGCCGTTCTGCCACAACTGTCAGACTTCCGGGCACTCCAAGGTCAACTGCAACCGCCCTCGCGTTTACCGTGCAGCAGACCCACAAGTCGCTTCCACTCAAGCAAGTCCTCCAAGGCGCTCTTCAACATCTGCACAACAAACACCCAACATCATCAACTGCATGGTACACATCGACAACTGCGCACCCGCTTCACCACCCACTTACGCACCAGACGAAGAGGAATTCCCGCCGCCGCGCTCGCAAGGACTTCAGGTCAACCCGACATACGCTGCAGTCGCTAACGCCGAACCCACCGGGCGGAACACCTGGTTCTTGGACAGTTGCTGCGGTCAGCACATGTGCTCCTCCGGACGCTTCGTACAACACGAGCGACGCCTCAACCGCGACGTCGTCATCACCGTCGCCAACAACGAAAACCTGAAAACAAACAGGCAAGGCGTGGTTCAGTTACAATCAATGGAGACAAACGTTATTCTTCAGCTCAACAAAGTCCTCATCGTCGACAATCTGGGATACAACCTACTAAGCGTAAGCCAACTAATGGCTAAGGGGATTCACCTGGAGTGCGACTCCTTCTCCAACGAGTTCCGACTTTACCACGGGAAGGGCGGTCTCTTCATCGGTCGTGCCCTCCTGAAGTCCGGTGTCTTCGTGTTGGACTTCGTCCCCGACCGCGGAACTGCCGACAGCGATGGCATCGTATCGTTCGCCGCCTGGACTCACCCACCAGATCTTGATCCCGACTTCGACAGTGACGGCTTCTGGCACTCCAACACCATACCTGCAGCAGAGAGAACACGGGCATTAGCAGTTATCAGACAAGAAAGACAAGTACCAGCAAGCGTCCCAACAAAACCATCACCTGCAGTATCGGCAGCAGGACCCAGCCGAGTACCACCACCATCAACACGAGGACCGCCAACGGAAGCAGACCAACTTATGCCCGCCACACGAGAAGCTTGTCGAAGTCCCGCCTCGGTCGTCGCGTTCTTCTCCAACGCCGACATCTACCACCGCTCGCCCGGTCACCGCGCTCCCGACGACATCTGGCACCAACGTCTCGGACATCCTGCAAACAGCACGATACTACAAACAATACAAGCAGAGGTGTTAGAACGTAACGCCCTTCTAACGACGAGCGGCCAAGAACTTCGCCGACCAAGAGCACGATGCTTCACGTGCCCCGAAGCAGATCTTCCTCATCAACCTTTCCCAGCCCATCACAATCCAAGCGCACCCACTTACGCTCCGATGGAAAAGGTCTACAGCGATATTCTAAACATGCCTCGAGACGACACCGAAGCCGACTTCAACTACGTCATCACGTTCATCGACGCCGCAACCAGATACGTCTGGCACTTCAATCTCAAAACGCGCGATCAAGCCTTCGAGGCCTTCACCACATGGCTTCCAATCGCCGAACGAGAGTCAGGAACCAAACTCAAGAGTTTCCAGTCAGACGGTGCACTGGAATACCAGTCACAACGCTTCAGGACCTATCTCGCGGAAAGGGGAATCCGACGCCTGGTGTCTCTGCCCTATGCTCACCAGCAGCAGGGGGTAGCAGAACGCATGAACCGGACCTTGCAGACGACGATGCGAAAACTGCTTCTGGGGATGAGGCTGCCCAATACACTGTGGCCAGACGCGATGACACATGCAGTCCACCTGCACAACCTGTTGTCCTCGTCATCGCTCCCCAACAACGCATCACCGCACCTGCTGTGGACGAAAAAAAGGGGCAGCACAAAATTACTTCGAGTTTTCGGCTGCATGGTACAATACAGACCCCACACAGCTCGAGCAGGACGCTTCACTCAACGAGCTCGGTGGGGACTACACCTCGGCATCGCCAAACATTTTCACGCGTGGAAGATTCTCGACATACACGACAAAAATACGGTGGCATCACGTGATGTTATCTTCTACGAGCGACTGACGCTGCAGCATTACCTGGACAACATTGCCAACTCAGACGACCCCACCGACGGCTTCGCGGGCCTTCGCTCCTTCGCTGACCATGCTGCCGAGGCTGACGCAGCAGAAGAAGACGTCCCTGGAGCCTCGGAGGCTGCCGGACCACTCCCCTACTGCTCCGTACCTGTTCCACTCGATGAAGATAATCCCCTCGATAGCAACAACCTCGACACCTTTTACCACTTCGCTGACCAAGGCTACGCTACACCACACCCCGTCGACTCGAATATTTCCGAACGCATCGGGCCAAACTTCTTACCCGATCCTGAAGACGGTGATGAAGCAGCTTATCCCGAGAATGAAAACTCCCCTCGACACACAGCCACGGGACTGCAGATCCTAGGACTATGGGTCTCCGTCCAGCACCCGCCGCCGCCTTCTCCGCGCGAGCCGTCGACCCTGTCGCAGGCTCTGGGGGGGGAACATAAGGCACAATGGAAGGAAGCGATGGAAAAAGAGTTAAAAGCTCTGCAAGACCGAGAAACATGGAAACTGGTACCTGCAACGAGCATCAACGGGAAGAACATTCTCTCGGGGAAATGGGTGTACCGCATCAAGACCAACTCAGACGGCTCCATCGAACGATTCAAAGCTCGATGGGTCGTACGAGGCTTCGATCAACGATACGGAACCGACTACACAGAAACCTTCGCTCCAGTCTCCCGTCACACCTCTCTGCGCATCCTACTCGCCATCGCGGCCACGAAGAAACTACCACTACGGCAAATCGACGTTGCAAACGCCTTCTTGTACGCACCTGTGGACGCCGAAATCTTCGTCGAACAACCCCACGGATTCATCGACGACCCTTCAAAAGTATGCCAGCTGGAAAAATCCCTTTACGGGATCAAGCAAGCCCCACGGCTCTGGCAGCAGCACCTTCACGGCCGGCTCGTAAAAATCGGATTCCTACAGCTACCACATGACCAAGGCATGTACCGACTACAGAAGGGAAGAGATTACATTCTGCTCATCGTCTACGTCGACGACCTGCTCTACATCGGTTCTACCACCGACATCGTCACCTGGTTCGAAGGGGAGCTGAAAAGGGACCTGACGCTCACGGTGTCCGACGAAGTTACCCAGTACCTAGGACTGAACATCGTCGAAGACGACACGGCGTTCTACCTACACGCTGGAAAGTACTCAAGCACCGTCGCGAAGAAATTCGGTCTAGCACCGACTGCGGTCCCAACTCCCTACCGCTATGGGAACAACAGTAGCGCCTCCACAAAACTCCCCGCGAAACAAATCCAGGAGTATCAACAGAAGCTCGGCTGCCTACTATTCGCAGCAGTAACCTGCCGACCCGACCTATCCTATAGTGCGAGTCAGCTGGCGACACATCTGAAGCAGCCGCAACAGGAAGATCTCGAAGAACTCAATCGAGCGCTACTCTACTTCGTCTCCACGCCGACGATCGGGCTCACCTACAGCAAGGCAACAACACCGTCCGTACAACTACTCGGATACGTCGACGCCGACCACGCGGGAGACAGCGAAAATCGACGGTCTAGGACGGGCTACATCTACCGACTAGAACCTATCGGAACTATCTCCTGGCAGTCGAGCAAGCAGGAGTTAATCGCACTATCCTCGGCTGAAGCAGAGTATATCGCCCTTTGTACTGCGACCAAGGAAGGACTCTACCTACGAGAGTTACTCGAAGAAGCGAAGATCGCGACCCTGCCCGCCTTCTCACTCCTCTGCGACAACCAATCTGCGATCAAAATCGCGAACAAGGACGGCTTCGCCAACCGAACCAAGCACATCGCCCTGCGGTACTTCTTCGTCAAGGATGAAATCGCGAAGGGGAGACTTCAACTCAGTTACTGCCCGACGACAGAAATGGCCTCAGATTATCTGACGAAGAAATTGGCGAAAGCAAAATTCGACTACTGCATGCTCCTAACCGGGCAAACAAACGTCACCGGATCTGAACACTCCAGCACTCCAGAAACGAAGGGGAGTGTTGGAAATATCTCAAGGACTTAAGCGTTTCTGAAGTGTAACACTGTACTCGAGGAAGATTACAGGGGAGCACGCGAGTCAACGGAGGTTACACCAGGGGGCGGACAAAGAATGCGAAAGGACCCGAAAGGTCGCAACTGGAGGTTGCGACTGACCGTTACAACATCACGGATGGTAACCGAAGCGGCAATCGAGTCGCTGTGCGACTCGATAAACCGTTCCTGTAACTGTATTCTACAACTGCTTTCTTATCTTCTATATATTGCTGTATGCTTGTTTCTTTAATCAATCACTTGTTCTCACATACTAGTACAAGGGTTCAACTACCTCAACTTCCGCTGCACTACTCCAAGTCTCAAGTCTCTACAGCTGGGACTTAGTCTCTGTAAAAGATCCTAAGGGCTTCTTCTCAGCCCAACATCTACAAACTGCTTTACTTTCCTACTTTCTATATATTGCTGTATGCTTGTTCTTTTAATCAATCACTTGTTCTCACATACTAGTACAAGGGTTCAACTACTCAACTTCCGCTGCACTACTCAAGTCTCCTTTTTGCAACTGGACTTAGTCTCTGGAAAGATCCTAAGGGCTTTTCTCAGCCCAATACCCATGACGAGCGCTATTTGCTGACGTCATCCTACGGACTTATGTTCTACAGTAGGAGTCAACACTAACTACACCTGATCGACTTACAGAAATGCTAAGTATCAATTATATCACAACACCCTCCACCACCCTCACTGCCTCAACAACCAGAGCAACCCTCGCCATAAACGCACCTATCCCCTGTCTGTCTATGCGCAACTACCCAACCTATCTTTCCCTCTCTTGCAACCCCCCTCCACCCCCTGCTCGCCCTTCCCCAGGTGCCATGAGCCAGGGCATCTCCAGCCTCTTATCATCACGCTACAGCACTAGAAGCTCTATCCCTGCTGCTCGGGTTCGTCCACATACCCTGCTGCACGGCCCTCCCTCCCCTCCACCACCCTCACTGCCTCGATTGCCGGAGCAACCCTCGGCATAAAAGCTCCTACCCCTTGACCATCCCCTTTCCCTCGCCCAACCCCGTTCTCCATTTCCAGGAGATCATTCTCCAGCAGCGGCGCCCCACCCCCTGACTGCCCTTCCCCGGGCGCCATGAACCAGGGCACCTCCAGCCCCTTGTAGTCACGCCGCAGCGCCAGAAACTCCGACCCCGACCGAGCCTCCACCACCGCTGACGTGGCATACCCCGATTGGCTGGCCGCCCGAGCCATGGCTGCAGCTTCGGATGAAACGGGAACGGCAGAAAGAGACATGTCTTGCCGGATAGCTAAAGATGATGACTCTGCTGCTGCTGCTGCTGGTGATGGCGCTGGATTGTGAGGGGTGTGCGACACCAGAGAGCCTCTCACAAAGGAGAATCGAGGAGCCTTATCTTCCCCATCCCCTTCCTCCCCACCCCTACCCACATTCCGTTCTGAACTACCTTCCCCTGACCCCGCCTCCCCCTCCCTCACCACTCCCCCTCCTCCTCCCCCTTTCTCCCCCACCACTGCATCGTCCACCAGCATTCGATACTCCCCCGTCCACTCCCGTCCCTCCTCAAACGCCATGAGCGCCTCAAACGGCGTCACAACCGGCGCGTAGAACTCCCGGCTATCCACCAGCACCCCCTCGGCACACGCCACCATCACCAACATGTCGCACTCGGGGAAATTCGCCAGCTTCTCTGGCGTGATCCGCCGCCGAATCGCGATCACGTACGCCTTTTTTCCCGCGGTTACCGCCGCCTTTCGGAGCCGTTCCACGGTGGCGCGGGTGGCGGCGGCGGCCGCGCCGGCCGCCTGCGATATAAGCACAATGCCTACTATAGACGCGTCCTTGGCTTTTTCTACGAGGAAGTAGCGGCGGCGCAGCAGGCGGGAGTGGTCCACAGGGTGGAAGATAGGAGCGATGAGGGCGAGGTTAGAGGTGAATGGAGAAAGGGAGCCGTTATTTCTGGTAGTGGTGGTCGTGGTGGCGGTGGTGGCGGTGGTGCTGCTGCTGTTGCTGCTGCTGCTGCTGCTGCTGGCAGTAGTAGCAGTAGAAGCAGTGGCGCTAGAAGAGCGATCTGCAGCAATGGAGCTGGTTTCTTCACCCCGCCTGGCAGCTGCAGCAGAAGACACCTCGTTGGGGTCGAGTCTGAGGATGGCCGTCTGGTTGTACTCCAGGGCGAGGGTGATGAGGGACGGAGAGTCGTCGCTGCTGCCCACCCACACCACCGTCGCCCCCACTGCTGCTGCCGCTTCCTCCTCCTTCTCCTCGTTGCTGCTTTTCTCTGTGGTGCCACCTGTGCTGCTCTTGGCGGCTTCTGCAGCCATGCTCGTCCCGGGCGGCAGCACCCACCGCAGGCCGCCGTGTTCAAACACGGTGCCAGGGGCGGCACACTGGGCTGCAGCGCACTGGGCGGCTGCTGCTGATGAGGCAACGTTGTCTTCAGGAGGAGCAGCAGCAGCAGCAGTGGAAGGAGGGAGCTCCGCTGCGACTATTGATACGCTCCCGTCACATGATGAGCTTGCATTTGATTCCGCAACACCGCCGCTAGTACAGCACCCACCACTCACAGCGCGACACGTGTCAGCGCCAGCACTCTTCCCCCCTTCCTCAGGCTCCACCTCTCTCTCCCGCACCTGCGCCACCACATACCGCACCTCCTCCCCCTTCCCCCCTTCCGCCTCCCCCTTCAACCCTTCCGCCTCCCCCTTCAACCCTTCCGCCCCCCCCTTCAACCCTTCCGCCCCCAATTCCTCCGATTCCGCCACCTTTCCGCTACCGCCTTCCCCTCGCTGTTCTCCCCCGTTAACTCCTTCCGCCCGCTTCCTCTCCCCTCCGCCCGCCTTTCCCCCACGCCCCAGGGCGAGCGCAAGGTCGTCCGCCGCGTGCGCGAACTCGAGCGCAAACAGCACCAGAACCACGCGCGCGGGGACGCGCTTATTGCTGCTGCTGAAATATGTTCTCATTGCTGCAGCGCATGCTGCCACGTCGATCGGCTGACGTGGCAGCACGTACCGCACGGGGAAGCGCGCCGGGCGGCGCGACATGCACGCGTGGCCGTAGTGGACGATACAATCGGCGCTGACGTGGCACGGTGACACCTCATCCACGCAACAGCTGCTGCACGTGGCGGTTGCCGCGTCAGCCAAAACGTAGAAATGCGGCAGCTCCAGACGCGGCGGGTTCCCATCTGCCGCATGTTCCGCCGCGTGAACCACCGCGAGTTGCGGCAGCTTCTGCGGCTCCGATCTAACTACACCTGCCGGCTCTGATGGCTGCTCTCCTTGACCCTCCCTTAAACCCTGCAACCCGGAGCCATGCAGATTGCGCTTGCTGAGGGATGCCTGTTCTTGACTTCCCTCGTGGATAGTCTCAGAGGGATTCTCAAGTAGAGACTCACTCCCAATGTCCCCGTTATAAGCGACATGTTGGCGGCGAATGAGCGCGTCGCATTCGGCTCTTAGCGCGTCGTGGACGGAGATGGCGTGGGGGAGGAGCGAATCAGGGAACTGCAGGCACACGCGAGCGAAGCCACGTGTCACGATGTAGCGCGCCGTCAGCTGGATCTCGAATACCTCCCTAACATCCATGGCGGGACAGCTCCGAGAGGTGTGTCTGTCATCTGCTGGGTGCTCTGTTTTATTCTCTATACATGTTAAAGTTAAGCTCCAATATGGGGGTGTAGCTCACATGGTAGAGCGATCGCTTCGCATGCGATAGGTAAGGGGATCGATACCCCTCACCTCCATGATGACTCACAATATGCTCCTCCTGGTGCAACGGGTTACCATTCACCTTGCCACCTTTGTTGTCCCACCTGGAATGGTCCAAATTTCAATTCCACCTACCAGGTTCTCAGCATGACTGGTGTTTACACTGAACCTGATTGGCTGCAGTCTGAACGGTAGTGAACAACCAAGTCTGAATTCGACAATTGGGAGTTTCAGAGCTGGGACATAGCGCAGGAGCGTTAGCGCGAGCGCGAGCGCGACCTAGTAACCAAGTGTTACTCTAGCGCGTGAGCGCGACCTAGTAACCAAGTGTTACTCTAGCGCGTGAGCGCGACCTAGTAACCAAGTGTTACTCTAGCGCGTGAGCGCGACCTAGTAACCAAGTGTTACTCTAGCGCGTGAGCGCGACCTAGTAACCAAGTGTTACTCTAGCGCGTGAGCGCGACCTAGTAACCAAGTGTTACTCTAGCGCGTGTGTTATGAATTAATCAGAGTAATAACAGGTGGTGTAATAAAGGAGTCGTGATTCAAGAGTGTCAATACTAATGAGCGCTCGATTCGTGCAGCTGCTCTAGTCACCCAGCCGACCCTGGCAACAGGTGACGATGGATTTTGTCACTGGCCTGCCAGCTGCTCAAAGCGGTAACGACGCGATTCTCGTCGTCGTTGATCGGTTGACCAAGATGGCCCACTTCGCCGCCTGCAAGACGACAATCACTGCCAAGCAGACAGCAAAGCTGTTCCTGACGACGGCTACACGGCATTCCTTCGGCAATTATCAGCCATCGCGACCCTCGTTTTACGTCCAACTTCTGGACAAAAACCTGGCAGCAGTACGGCACACGTCTGCATCTGTCCAAGGCATACAACCCGCAACCGGACGGCCGGACTGAGCGCACTAATCAGACTATGGAGCAGCTGATTCGCACGATGTGCACAAACCCGGCCCAATGGGAAGATTCTCTTCCACTGAACGAGTTTGCGTACAACAACGCCCCATCAGCCACGACTACTCAGTCCCCGTTCTTCCTTAATTACGGGATAGACCTGACAACCCCTCTATCGCCACCGATAGAAAATCCAGCACCAAGGTTGCAGTAGTTCGTCAAAAATCTCCGACAGTCTCAGCAAAAAGCCGTTGATTCCATCCTCAAAGCCAACCATGATTTCATGATCTGGCTGATGGGATGATTTCATGATCTGGCAGGCGGTGTAGGAGGACACGTACTTGCGCACGTCGTCGGCCATGTTCGGCCAGTAATAATTGCGCTGCAACGTCTTCATGGTTTTGTCGAATCCGAAATGCCCGGGGGTAGGATTGTCGTGGGATTCATGGATTAGAAGGGTACGAAGTAAATCATACAGTAGCCATGAACCCACATGCGGGAATTGTAGTGCTTATTAAAATAGTATCTGGTAGCGGTGGTATGCTGTTGGTGAATGGCGGAGCGGAAGAAGGGGTCGATTTTGTAGCCGTGGGTAAGGAGTGGGTTGGTCTAGGCGACTAGAATGGCGGCTGTGTGGGCAGTGGGTCGGGTCAAGGCATCGGCAATGTTGTTGGCGCCCTGTTTGTAGGTGATGGTGTAGTGGAAGTTTTGCCGTAGCGGGTTCGAATTGCCGTCTTGTAACAATCTTCAGCGGCGACGCGAATCTGATGGTAACCTCCCCGCAAGCCGAGTTTTGAGAAAAACTTGGCACCGCGAAGTTGGTCGAGAAGTTCGTCGGCTTGCGGGATCAGGTAACACGATTTAATGGTGATCCGGTTGATCGCGCGGTAGTCAATACACATTCGGAATCCTCCATCCTTCTTCGGCGTGAACAGTATCGGGGTGGCGTATGGTGACGTGCTGGGTCGGATAAATCCTTTCGTAAGAAGGTAATCCAGCTGCTGCTGTAATTCTTCGTGTTCTGGTTGGCTAAGCCGAAATTGGCGCTGTACCGTCGGTTGGGCGCCTGGTTCCAGCTCGATTCGGTGGTCCTCGGGTCGGCTCGACGGGAGTCCAGCTGGCAGATCGTCCGGAAAAATCTCTGGGTATTTCCGAATCAGGTCTGCTATGTTCGGAGGGACGGCCTTGCACAGCTTCTTGATATCTAGGGTCTCGACCGTCGATGCCACCTCGCGAAGATCAACGGCGTACGGTGTAGCTCCAACTTTCATCGGGCATTTGAAAGTGATCGCGTGGACTTGGGTGCTTCGCATGCGAGGCCCCGTCCACTTGGGCAGCTCACGGGAAATCCCATCAAGCTTGATGCTGCAGCCACACGTCGTCCGGTCAATCTTCGGGTTGTACCGTCGCAACCAATCACGTCCCAGCAGCAGATAGCGCCTATCAAGAGTCGTTGCGGTAGTCCCATCCGAAATTTTACATGCTCCCTGTAGGTAAAACCAATGTTCTCCACCCATTCCCGTATTGCCAGCGGTGTTCCGTCCACCAGTCAGGCATCGATTTCAGGTAGACACTTGAGTAAGGGTATACCCAATTTCTTAGCCCTATCCAATTGTACTAGATTGTGACTCGCGCCTCCATCAACCAATATCTTCAATAACACCCCGTTGACTTTACCCTCCACCAATACAAGGTGATAAGCATTTTTTTCCCCCTTATTCATCCAGGTCTGGTCGATTGCAGCAATCGGGATCATGACCCGGTGGGGACTATGTGGCTCGGGCGAAGAAGCCTGCCCGTCAGTAAGGGGCCCGGTACTTACTGACGCAACCCATTTCCCGGTCGCTCCTCCGGCTACTTCCCCATAGAATTCTGGAGGGCTATGAATTCTTGGCAGTTGCGTCGGATGTGACCCGGTCGGCCACAGTGGTAGCATAGCCCCGTACTGTATCCACCCCTTTTATCGTGGCCCACTGGTATAGTTCTCGAGGGCGACCTCCGTCGTATAAATTTGTCCTCGGCTTCGTGACCGAATCCGTGGCTTCGGCGAGCTGGATGTAGTCTTGTAACCGCTTCACAGGGCGTTGCAGTTTTATCTGGTACTGTATTTCAGGCTTCAAGCCACCCATATACCTGTCGAACTTCTCCAACTCGTCCATGTAGCCACATCTGTCCACCAACGTCAGGAACGACGTTGTGTACTCGGACACAGATCCCAGCTGCTTCCATATGCATAGAGTTTCGCGTGCCTTGTCTGAGTCAAGAGCATGCTCAAACCGCTTGCGAAGCTCTGCGCACCACGTTGCCCACGTGCGAATGTGGGTTGCTCCGAACAACAAGTCTGCCTCGTCTTCGTCGCCAAATTCTTCAGATCACGCGTGCTGTCCTTCTGTGCGAGTTGCCACCAAGTCGACGATGACCTTCCACCACTGTAGGGCAGCCCCTTGCAACAGTGTTAACGCGTGGCTGATCCGCTTCTGGTCGTCTCTGATGCCCGCCGCGTTAAAATAGATATTCATGGCGAATATCCACTCCCACATTGGCACGTCTTTACTAGCTGGGTCGAAAGGAGCGGGTTGCTGATATCTTACGCTGCCACTTGTCGAGCGCGGCGCTGTTGCCGCTAGTCGTGCCAGCACTACTGGCGACAGTTGCTGCTCACCCGCCTCGCTTCGTGCATCGTCGTCCGGCTCCTCTGGACGCCTCTCCTGTGCCTGGCAAAGTCGCTGGTTCTTGTCGCGGAGGTCGTTGACGATGCTTGTCAAATTCTTTAACTACTCCATTAATGTTTGCAGGTCCACGGTTTCCCGGGCAGGGTTCAGAGCTGTCGAGGTGGACTGTCCTTCAACTGTCGAATCTACCAGGGCCATGGCGGTCAGGACGGGGCAGAAGCTAGCGCACATGCTATAGTTGTTGATGTAAAAATATTTACGATCCAGAACAACTGCTGTGCAGCCGTGCTAATCCCCTCTGGCCACCCTTAACTAAGTGAACGGGAAAACGGAAGGTTCCTGGAAAGGTCGGGCTCTGATACCAGCTGTTATGATACATGAAGTGTCAATGAAATATAACGTGAGAATATAAGGTCGCTATTGCAATGAAGGCACGAGGTTATATAGGGGTTGGCGTGCTAGGGCGATAACCTCGGAACTTGGGTAGGTTCGGCTACGTGGCGACAGTGTTGGATGCGGTGCGGGAAAGGGTTGGGCCGACAAAAGAGGCCGAACGTGACGAATCGAGGAGTTCGGGTGTACGCGCTAGCATACGATTCAGTAAGGAATGGAAATTCCTTATACATGGTGGCGGGTAATGGGGTCCCGCTGTCGCGGCATGTCGCGGTAGTAAATTTGGCCTGGCATGTCTTGCACTATGTGGGTGTGTTGGATTTGGCAGGGAAAGTTGTTCGCTAGCGCCGTGCGAGGCCGCAAAGTTTCGCGCGGAGATTTCGCTTGAGGTGGTGTTGGTATTGGATGGCGAATTGGATTTTTGTGCAGTCTTTTTTGTCGTGCGGAGGTACCTGGAAACGTGCGCTTGTGTCTGCCAATTTTGGGTGTGAGTTGAGCGTGTCCTATTCGAGCGCGTTTTATAATTACATGCCTAAGTGGTAACTGAACAAGGTGTTGAACAAGGCACGTACTTTAGTGACACGCCCTTATACTAGCTGAGTACAGCAGAAAGGACCTGACGAGACGACAGTGAAAGGAGCGTAAGTGCCACTAAGGGCGTATCCTGCATGTATGTATTGTGGTTGGTTAGGTACGATCTGGATCAGATGCGCAATAAGGATCTGAAACGATTGGGAACGGCATTGAGGGAGAATCGTATGCTCGGGACACGCCCCTAGACAAAGAACGGTCTAGACTCGAGACGAGAGGCTATGCTCAAAAGGTGTCTGTCCGTTCTCCATTAGGGCATGTAGCCTACGGTTTCGTGATTGAGTTATATCCGTGGGCGAAAACTGTTACAATTTTCGACATTGTTTG